CAACAACAACAACAACAACAACAACAACAACAACAACACACGCACACGCACACACCACTAACAACGCACATAATGATGATGTGATATGCAGTTACCCACATGCCGATCGCCATAGTCGACTTGGACAAGCTGCCCGTGCTCGACCAGGTGCTGCCAGCTCCCTGCCGATCTCCCCCTCTCTTTCTTTTTCCTGCGTGCTTACCAGCTTTCGAGCAGGTTCGTTTGATGTCGAACACGGGCATCTTGGTCGGCATGCACGGAGCCGGCTTCGTCAATGCGCTCTTCCTGCCGCGGGGCGCCGTGACCGTGGAGATGTTCGCTGGCCGGTACTACAGCTCCGTGTACGGCCGGTACGCCGCGCCGGGCGGGGTCTCCGCCTATTCCTACCACGAACCAGGGGTGAGCTCGGTCACATCATCACCCCAAGACCAAGCAGCAGAACTGGCGGTACTTTCTTTCTTCTTTAGCTCTGATTGATGGTCTGCAAGTCCATGGTGAGGTGATTGAAGCGTCTATTCTGCGTAGGTGTCGCTTGAGTCGTTCCGCGTGGTCATGCAGAAGGCGGTACAGGCCTGGCGCGATAACAACCAACTGTATTACCATCAAGTCGGCACGCCTGCTGCATGAGAAACACTGATTTCTGACAAATAAACAGATGTCAGCCTGTCCACGCCTTGAGCCATAACATAACCACAAGTGATGTGTCTGCGGGAGAAGGTCGACCTGCTGTCCTCAATTTAGATGAAGAAGCGGTGCCCAACAAAATCCGGCCAGCTACCCAGCAAAAGGGAAATCCTTTTTCTCGTGGCGAAAACCCCAATAATCGCAAAATTCGTTTGTGATATCGATATCAATATGTTGAGGGCGAAGGTGCTACCCCAGATTCTGGCTCAGGCCAACACCAACGGCGTGCAGGGCACCATGTACGCAGATTTTCCGCCATTCGTTTTGTTTGCTGATGAACGATCGAATTAATTCCTTGTGGGTTCATCAATCTTTTGGATCTCTGCCGGCAGCCTGCTCAACGAAGAGGGTTCGCTCTTGGCTTCAACTGGCGCGGGAGATCACGTTGTTGTGGCGGCTATTGCCTCCAACGTGTGGGCTCAGTTCCAGAAGCTCGGCAACCAGGACCTCGAGTACATGCTTTTCGATTGCGAGGTACCATCTTGTAGAACTTCAATTCATAGACAAGTCCCTTTTTAAACAATCTCATCTTTTCCTCTTCACCTCGCAGCAAGGGCGAGTTGTGATGACCAAGGTGAGCACCCACCTGCTGTGCCTCTACAGCGACAAGTCCGCCGAGTTCGGCATGCTCAAGCGCAAGGTTGCACCCCCCTCTCTTCTCGTTTCGTTGCTTCTCGACGTTGACGTCTTCTTCCTCGGTATCTGCAGGCTCAGGTGCTGCGAGAGTATCTGCAGGAGCCCTTGCAGCAGGTGTTCTAGGCCCGCGACATGATTAAACCTTAGCTTGTCCGGCCGCACACGTACATAGCACCGCACCGCACCGCACACACACGTCGTGACACGACACACACACACACACACACGAAGAGAGAGATATGAAGTGGGAGGACGGAGATAGGTGAAAGGTTGTATTTACACGCGACCGCAAGGGTGGATCCTCATCCAAGGCTCTCAGAGGCCGTAGTAGGTCATGCCGAGCTTGTTGCCGTAGTGGCCGCCGCCCGAGGTCTGAAACTCGACCAACTCGATGTCCGGCTGGCTTCGGTCCCCGTCCGCGGCGCACCTGAGCTCGACGCACCAATTTCCCTGCGCCCAGCACAGCAGCAGCAGCGGTCAGTTGCCCTCTCCCCGTGAACTGCACCGCACTTCACCGCACACAACAGCGCCGACGCGAGGGGCGGTCAAGTTGTTGCTTACCTTGTAGTCAAAAGTTTCCGTCTCGCCGCACTTGAGGACGTGCGTGGCGATCACCTTCTCCCCGCCGCTGCTCGCACCCCCCCCCCAAGATGACGATCAGACACCGCGATGTGAAGAGAAGGAAAGTGAAAGTGTAGTGTACCGTGGTTGGGAGGAGAGGACGATGTCCTGCGTGCCGGCGTTACGGAGGGTGACGAAGCCCGTGGCCGAGGTGACGAGGTACGAGTGCGATGGCGGGAACACCAGGTACCACCCGGCGTCCTTGTAATGCGGGCTGTTGTCCACCTTCTTCAACGCCTGGCCAGAGAGGATGCCGGCGGTCTCCTGCTCGTTGACGCCGAAGATGTTCTCGAGGAGGCCGATGCCGCCCCCGATCACGTTGCCCACGCCGTAGGGCCGCTCCCCGTTGCCCCTCCCCGTCTGTCCATTCGCGGCGTACGCATACCTGATCCGCGCGCCGCCACCACCATCGACGGCTTAGCAACACAATCGCACACGCACGCACGCACGCGCATGGCAACGAGGAGAGGAAGCAAGGAAGACCTTTTGCCCTTGTGGAGGTAGGTGATGAGATAGACGGGCGCGTAGAGGGAGGAGAAGCTGGGTCGGCCCTTGAAGGTGAGCTTGGTGAGGATGAGCTGCTGGATCTTCTGCGGGCTGTGCTCGCGCTTGATCTGCGCGCTGCACGCC